TGGGTATTGAGGAGGGCTAAACAGAGTGGGGAGAGAGAGAGAGAGCACATCAGGGCGGGAACAAGCCAAGGCCTTCTTTGCCAGCCTCTCCATACATTCTCTTGTCCCTCCAGAAGTCTTTGAACTTATGGCCACTTGTTAATCTAAATGACTAACGGGACTCAGGTGAGTTGGGGAACTCCTCCCTCCCCTGCCATATCCCTCCTCCTTTTCTTCCCTTTCTCCACCAGCTGAAAAAAAAATGAGAGTAATAAAAACCAAAACCAAAAACAAACAAAAATTACGAGCCAACAGGCAGGTGGAGTTCTCTAAGAAATTCATGCCAACAGTGTACTCTTCTGTGATGAAGGTGCAAACACCCAGGGTCTGAGCCATGGCCAACGCCAGGACATAGGTGATCCCCAGGTCACGGGGGAAGGCAAAGCTCAGTGGCTTCAGGCCCCTGATGACGTATGGCACCGATGACTCCATGGCTGCTCGTGTGCCGCTGTGCAGTGACTTCAGCGCTAAGTCGGGAGTCACAGTCATGTGTCAGATCCCTTCAGTCTTCTCAGTAAGATCCTACAGGATATTTTTTTCCTACACAGCAGCAGCAGCCTTGCCAAACCATTAAAAATAGACCTGGTAATATTTTCCACATTTGGGGAAGCCATGAGTGCTTCCCAGTGTATATGCCCAGCAGATGTACATAACTTGAGAATTAAGCATTGAATCCTACACAGTCACACAGAATACACGTGTCTGCTACAAGGAGGCCAAGCTCTGGGGAACAAAACACCTGTTAGTCCCTGTAGGAAAAGTGTATGTTTGATGCATATGTAAATTATATGTGTGAGAATCAACTGTCCAACATGACTAACTCTGGCTATTTTGACTTACTCCTGCTCCTGGAGTAAATTCTCAAAACTCAAGGGCCTGAAGTCGACCTCCCCAAGTATAGAATTACTTTTGAGACAGGCGTCATCCTGTGCTTGTTGGGGCCTGCACGGCCTGGGAAAGGGACGGGCAGGGCGTGGGTGAGGCTGGGAGAAGGTGCAGGTCCAAGGTCCCTTGGCCAAGGACACACACCAAACATGCCAGCTTGGAAATCTTCAGCAGATGGCTCTAAGGTGAGGGGGTCTGAGAGACTGGGACACTGGAGAGAGCTAAGGATGTAAACCAGCATTATAATGACTCAAACATAGCAGCACTGCCCAGTAGAAACTGGTGAATGTTCTCATGGGTTCCAAAGAAGTCACTGGCTTGCTTGCTTGCTTGCTTTTTGAAAGATTCATTTATTTTTGTTAGAAAGGCTTTTACACACTGGCTTCTAAGACCTGACTCTGAGCACTCCACAGTTGCACCCGTGTGACACTGTGGACATGCACAGCCTATGCCTCTGGAAGATTCTGGAGTCCCCAGCTCTGTAATTTTGTTAATAGCTGGAACAGATAAGCAGAAGATCATGACCGATGGTTTTCTAAAGACAGCTCCTCAACTTTCCCGCTCTCATTTTCTGATTAGCCTTACTGGAACATTTTCACCTCTGGAAGCACAGCAACCAATTCAAGCCTTCTCGCTTTCTGGAGTATGCACATAGGTGGGGATTAACCCTCTTCTTCCCCCGGGCCCTCGAAATTATTTTGACCAAACTGTTTAAGTCAGGGGTTTTCATTGTAGACACAACTTAAGTGAGTCATTAAGAATTTTATTGGTTAAAGTAGGCATATATTTTTCCTAGTAGACATAATGACATAACAGTAATAAAAATGTAATATTCGAGTAATTGCTATAATGTAATTACAGTTTGGTCATAAAGTAAGATTAGAGGTCTGGGATGGCTGTTTTGTGGGTGCGCATTTTAACGTCTGGATGTAGGCTTTGAGGGCCCTGTCCATTCTCCCCCGAGTGCCAGCACAGTACCACACGGAACCAGGTGGCCCACAGCCCAGCTGAGCCAGCATCAGGCAGGCATCTTGTTGACCCCATCTGCCCTCCCCTGGACACCCTGTCCTGCCTGTCTCAGATCCTTAACCATCACAGCCACAGACAACTGTTTCTGTACTTAGAGAAAACAGTAGAGTCCTCAGGAGGGAAAGGGCCGGTGAGGGTGCAGGTGCCAACCTGTATGGGCCATCTCCTGGCTCTCAGGGTGTTGTAGGCAGCCCTCAGTCTTTCTCTGGCTGAAGAACTTGGAGCCCTGCACCTTCTTATCCCCCATGTGCCAAAGCCTTTGGCTGTTCCGGTTTATGGAGACACGAACAATTTCTAGGTTGACTTTGAATGAAAGGAGCTGTCTTAGGCACTTGACCAAAGGATGGCCCATTGCTGGAGACCGTCTTTGAACTGTTCTAAATAACTTTCTATCTGCATTTCTTACTTGACGGCATGGCTTGCAGAAAGAGAAACTGAAGCAAAAGAAACACTTCACCACTGGTGAGTGCCAACAACACATACATCCAGCCGTTCTCCCTCACCTGCATTGTCATTTTCTGCAGTTTCAGTACCAGCACCCCAACCAACTCAACTGGAAAATCCCAGAAACCAACAATCTATAGAGCTTTAATCACATGCTTTTTGGTTAGTAGGATAAAATTCAGCAGCAACAGCTCTTGCTAGGCCTAACTGACAAATGAAACTGAATTCTTGGTCAGTGGGAAAAGAACAGAACCTAAGGCCTGGCACAATGGCTCAGTCCTCACCATGCAAGCACCAGGATCCCCTGTGTGCACTGGTACTGTTCTGGCTGCTCCACTTTCTATCCAGCTCCCTATTTGTGGGCTGGAAAAGCTGTACAGGATGGCCCCAAACTTGTGCGCTCTGCACCCACCTGAGAGATCTGTGACTCCTGGCTTCAGATCGGCTCAACTCTAGTCGTTGTGGAATGAACCAGTGGATGAAAGATCTTTCTCTGTATTTCCTTCTCTCCGCAAAGAAATCTGATCTGCCTTTCCAATAAAAATAAGTAAATCTTTATTTTAACAGATCCATGGATCCCAGAACGATTTTTTTAAAAAAAGATTTGTCTCACTTGAAAATCAGAATTAGAGAGAGAGAGAGAGAGAGAGAGAGAGAGAGAGAGAGAAAGAGAGTGCGCTCTTTCATCTGTTGGTTTACTCCCCAAAATATTTCTAATGGTCAGAGCTGGGCTGGTCTGTAGCTGGGAGCCAGGGGCTTCTTTGGGTATCCCATAAAGGGGTAGGGCCCCAAGGACTTGAGCCATCCTTCTCTGCTTTCCCAGAGCATAAGCAGGGAGCTGAATTAGAAGCGGAGCAGTCACGCTGGAACTAGTGACCACATGGGATGCTGGAGCTACAGGCAGAGGATTAACTTGCTATGCCACTGCACCAGTCCCATGATTTCTTATATAAGGAAATGCTCATGGCCCAATTTTCCAAGCATCTTTCCCTGCCCTGGTACTGGAATGAGCCTTTTCTCCAAGGAGCTCTGAGTACCAGTGGAGAAGATGTTTAGAAACTAAGACCTGGGTAGTAGATGTGAATATCATTTCCTGAAATGTGTAAAAAATCATTGCCAGAACAACCGGCCAGTTTTGGAGGAATTTCAGGTGCTGTAAAGGAATGAGCATGTACCAAGCTTGCTGCCGCTGGAGCCTGAAAGAACTGAAAATCGAAGAGGAAATAGTTCCCCACAGCCTGACCAATGATGCAGACATGTTCCAATTACAGTCTCAGCAAATGGGTAAGATCTTGAGACTTTTCTCCCTCTTCAGCAAATACTGCTTTGCATCTCTTCCTCAAGTGTGTTATCGTTACTGGTGAGAGCTATCCGTGCCAGCTGACTCACGGTCAAATCACCCATCCATGCTATAGACTATCTCACAAACTTGACTTCCTGCCTTCCAAGATCCTGCATCTCTAAGTGCTGTGGGTCTCAGTCACACACCTATGAAGGCTGGTCGCGAACAGAGGCAGGTGTGTTGTGCTTGTGCCTCCTCGTTCCTTCCTGTGCTATACCTCCTCAACAGTGGGTAGGGTCCTTTTCCAACTCTCAAGTCTGTCGTCTTCCTTTCTGCAATGGAGACTGCTGAGGTGAGGCCCTGGGGAAAGAAGGAAACCACACACCCAGTGCACGAGATGCAGGGCAATCATGCGGAGCAAGGCTTGATCTACAGAACTTCCTTTCTTCAGTCCTTCGAGTGAAGTCACGCAGAGCAGAGCTTGGGATCTGACTGATCCAGACTGCTGGCTTTTACTTGGCACCTACTCTCTCTTTGAGAAATGTTATTTTTTCCTTAACTTCTTTTTCATTAATCTTGTGTTAAGAGTGGTCTAACCCGTTAGCTGGGTAGGCTGCTTCTGTTCCAATTAGCATATATTTCTATAAGTGCTGAGTGGGGAAGGGAAAGGAAGAAGCAGGATTTCTAAACTATTGACCTTGAGGGACTTGTCCGAAGGTGTGTCTGACATGAGTGTAATACAACTGACTTTGAAAAAGCTCTAGTAAATTGTAAGTTATGGTTGGCTCTGATGATTAATGCTAAGCAGAATAAACTAGGAAGGAAACATAAAATATTTCTAAGCTTACACTTTAGTCACTCAATACATATGAAATTCAATGTTCTTACTTTAAAAAAATAGATATTCAGAACACCAAGAAACTCTAGAGGAAATCAATGTTTGCCAGTGTTACACAAGCAAAGTTTAAGAGTTGACAATGCGGAGGCTGGTACTGTTGTATTGCAGGCTTAACTCTTCACCTGTGGAGTTGGCATCCCATATTGCAGCTGGTTTAAGTTCCAGCTGTTCCATTTGTGACCCAGCTCCCTGCTAATGGCCTAGGAAGGCAGCATAAGAAGGCCCAAGTCCTTGGGCCCCTACACACGTGTGTGAAGACCAGAAAGATCAGCTCCTGGCTTTGCAGTGGTCCTGGCCGTTGTGGCCATTTGGGGAGTAAATCAGTAGGTGGAAGCTCTCTCTCTCTCTCCTTCCTCTTCTGTGACTCTGCCCTTTCAAATAAAAATAAATATTAAAATATTAAAATAAAAAATAATTGACAATGCTTTGATACTCTCAACTGAAAGTTACTTTGATATATCTTATTTAAAAGCTACCCCTACCATTTCAACCTGGGACTTCCCCTCAGTGGCAAGTTGAAACGGGGATATTAGAGACCAGTCTTCTGTGTAGTTAAATTGTTTTACTGTTCAACTACTGATGGGTTGGTGTCCTCACCAGAAAATGCAGAATTAAACCACAAAAGCTTATTTTGAGAGCAGGTCTGTCACCATCTATGATACATATGACAAGGAAGTCAACAGGAAGTACTAAATTGGCTTGGATTATTCCTACAGGCACAGAGAGAAACAAAATCAGTGTTTACCAAGTGAAAAAGCACAAAGTTGGTTCAGAGAGAAATGCTATTTTCATGCTTCTAAAAAGGTATTACAAATAACAGCAAGTTTCAACCCATAATTAAGAAGTATTTTTAAAAGTTTTGATTAAGTTTCGTTGAAAAATAGACACTTTAGGCTGAAATAAATTTCTTAAAATCCTGACTTCTAATTATGCTGGTTTGCTCCTAACATACACTATAAAAGCCCCTCTTAAATAAGAAATCTCAAGAGTAAAAATGTTTCTCAGAGTCATCTAGCAGTTCAGTGTTCTCATTTAATAGATGGGAATCTAAGGCCCCAAAGTTATAATAATCTATCAAATCTCATGCAGTTAGCTAGGGACACAGGAATTTGAAAAATTATTATAACTTTGGAACTTCAGATTTATTTCCCTCTCTCTTCCATTCCCATTCTATCCAAAATAATAAGCATTAATGGTGGCTAGCCACGTGTCTCCATATTAGGTTTCAGTATATTCAAGAGGAAGCATAATTAAGAGAAAACAAGAACAAACATCCTCCCCAGACGGTGTCATGTAAATGTTAGTATTCTATTTTTAAAAGTAATGCTTTTATTTTAGGATAATTTTATATTCACAAAAATAAACAAAAACAAAATCCCCTGTACCAGTAGCAACGTAAAGTTCCCACATACCTCATATTGTTTCTCCAATCACCAGATATTGCATATTATGACACATTTATTATAGCTCATCAACTAACAATGACATGTTATTAACTGAAGCTGACACGCAGATTTCCTTTAACTTCTACCTAATGTTCTCTCTGTTCAAAGCTGCATTCAGAACATGAGGTTATGTTGATGTCTCTCGTGCTTCGGTTCCTCGTGGCTATGGCAGTCAGACTTTCCCTGACAGTTTGGGGGATTAGGGTCAGGTATTTCATGGACTATCAACTGAGAGTTGTCAGATGCCTTTCTCAAAGTTCCACTAGGGTTGTAAGTTTGAAAAGAGGAGTACAAGTATTTATATCCTTTTCAGAGTATAGGGTTAATATGAATGTGTCGGTTGGGAACATTTTGCTACTTTCTTTGTTAGGGGTTAAAATGGCTAAAAGGAACACATAAGGGTGCCAAGTTGACAAAGGGCAGACTGTGGTTACTGGCAGTGTGCCTATGTGGTGGAGCTGAAACCACTTCCCCCGAATCTTCTTCTCTGTACGGTTCTGATTTGGAATGGGCCAGAAGAGAATTCTGTACACATCTGGAAGGTGAAAGTGGAGTAGTTAAAACATCTTTGATGTTCATTTGTGGTTAGAGGCAGTTACAGGCAAGGCATAGGCATGCCAGCAGGTTCTAGCTTGTCCTCATTTTCTTCCACTCTAACTTCAGTGGTGAGTGAGGACTCGGGTGGCTACCAGTGGCTCCAACTTCTGTATCAGACATGGGGTGATGGTTTCACAGAAGTGGAGTGATGGGCCTGGCACAGTAGCTTAATGGCTCCAGTCCTCACCCTGCATGCACCAGGATCCCATATGGGCACCAGTTCATGTACCAGCTGCTCCACCTCCTTTCCAGCTCCCTGATGGTCCAAAGCCTTGGGACCTTGCACCTGCATGGGAGATCTGGAAGAAGCTCCTGGATCCTGGCTTCAGATCTGCTCAGTTCTGGCCGCTGCAGCCACTTGGGGAGTGAACCAGCAGATGGAAGATCTTTCTTTCTGTCTCTCCTTTTCTCTATAATTCTGCCTTTCCAATAAAAATAGATAAATAACATCTTAAAAAAAATAAAGAAGTGAGAATAATACAGGCACATGGCTTCCTTCCCTCCTGTGAGGCATTGGTCAGCAGCCAGTGTGGCCATTTTGATTTTTGCTTTTTAGACTGAAGAATCAATTGCTTTTTCTCAGATCCTCCAACTTCCTTTCTGTGTTGTCAGTTTCCCAGTTTTCCCCTGCCCCCACAATTGTATTAAGTTTGATTTCTATTATGTATCCCATTTGTACAGAAGTTCTGATTCTGTGATTGAACCCATATACAAAGCTATGAGAGACAAATTGTCAAATTGAAAACAAGTACGAAAACTGGGCAAAACACAAAAACAATTGTGTCATATCTTCTATGCTACCATAAAACATTACAAATGTGGCAGCTTGGATAATACACACTTAATGATCTATATATAGGTGAAGGGGTCAATACACAGGTTAATCCTCTGCTTCTGGTGCCAGCACCCATATGGTACTGGTTCACGTCCCAGTTGCTCCACTTCCAGTCCAGCTAACTGCTGATTGCCTGGGAAAGACTGGAGGATGGTCCTGGGTCTTGGGTCCCTGCAGCCATGTGGGTAACCAGAAGGAAACTCCTGGCTCCCAGCTTCAGACTAGCCCAGTTCTGACCTCTGGGCATCTGGGGAACATATCAGCAGATGGAGATCTCCTCCTTCACTCTGTGATTCTGATTTTCAAGTAAAAAATAATAAAAAGTCTATAGGTGAGAAGTTCCATATGACTCTCACTGAACTAAAGCGAGGGCAGGCAATGTTTCTTTCTGGAGGCTACGGGGAAGAATCAACATATTCCTGTTCATCCAGGTTGCTGGGAGAAGTCAGTTCCTAAAGGACCACGTTGTACTTAATTGTTGGCAATAAACTAAGGGCAATTTAGTGGTCACTACATTCCTTGGCTTGTGGCCCTCTGTAACTTTAAAACCAGCAATGTCAGTCTTTTCATATTGCATCTCTCTTACTCATTCTACTTCCTTTTTTGCTTTTAAGAGCTCTTGTGATTAAACTGGGCATACCTGGATAATCCGGTGTAATCTCCCTATTTTAAAATCAATCAGCAACTTTAATTCTATCTGCAATCTGAATTCCCTTTTGCTATTTACTCTACCATATCCACAGGTTCTGTGAATTTGGATATGAACAGTCTTGTGGGGAGGTGAGAGGCTATGGAGAAACCAATTGTTTGAGATATCATTAAAAAGCCACAGCTGAGGGCCTGGCGTGATAGCCTAGCAGCTCAAGTCCTCACCTTGCATGCACCGACATCCCATATGGTGTCAGTTCTAACCCTGATGGCCCTGTTTCTCATCCAGCTCCCTGCTTGCGGCCTGGACAAGCAGTCGAGGATGGTCCAAAGTCTTGGGACCCTGCACCCACACGGGAGACCAGGAAGAGGTTCTGAACTCCTGGCTTTGGATTGGCGCAGCTCCGGCTGTTGTGGCCGCTTGGGAGTGAATCAACAGATGGAAGATCTTCCTCTCTGTGTCTCCTCCTCTCTGTATAACTGCCTTTCCAATAAAAATAAATAATCTTAAAAAAAAAAAGCCAAGGTTGCCAGGACTGAGAGAGCAAGACTCAGGGGAAATGGAGAACCTGCTTTCTGTTCGGGGGAGTTTGTCCCTAACTGTGAGTGGACAGAAGCCAAGCATGGAGCAACAGTGTGGGCTGTGGCAATGTCGACGCCCTGGAGGGTGGCAGAGGCCAGAGTTTGGAGCTGACCAGGCAGCTAAGGATCCCAGATCAGAAAGAAGAAACTTTGGAGACATGAGCCTGTAAATCCATGCAGACTTTTCTTTGAAGTATGTCAGCTTGAGATTTGTGCGCGTGTGTGGCAGGCAGCAGCTGGGAGGGTTTAAAAGCTAAAAGGTGAACAGAAACACTGTCAACCCTGTGGGGCTGGGGAGCTAGACGCTGGATCTCAGGGATTCTGTCCATCAATACAGGGAAGACAAAAAGAGATCATTTTGATGTGACTGAGCTCCACCTGACTGCTAGAAAACCAGAGAAGGTCATTATCCATAGATTCTCCATCTCTTTCTTACACAATGTTGGGCTCTCAATAACAAATTCCAGGTAAGGCAGGAAACAGAACCAAGTGACTGAAAACTAAAAGGAAGAAAACCTGAACAATAAAAACAGATCTAGATACAACCCAGACTATACAGGAAACCAGAAAGGGATGGAAAGTGTATGTTTAATAATTTGTATTTATCTGTGAAAGGCAGAGTGCCAGAGAGAGAAAGAAAGAGAGAGAGATAGATATCCACTCTTAATATCTTAATTAAAAGCCAGAGATTGTAAGTTTGGTGAAAATTATTGTGTTCCAATGAGAAACATATTTAAATATATAGGTAAAAGAGGATAAAAAATATTCAATATAAACACCAAGTAAAAGAAAGATGGGGGCCCGGCGCCTTGGCCTATTGGCTAAAGTCCTCGCCTTGCACACAACTGGGACCCTGCACCTGTGTAGGAGACCTGGCGAGGTTCCTGGCTCCTGGCTTTGGATTGGCACAGCACCATTTGTTGCGGTCACTTGCAGAGTGAATCATCAGACAGAAGATCTTCCTCTCACTCTCCTCTCTGTATATCTGAGTTTGCAATAAAAATAAATAAATAAAAAAAAACTTAGTTGCAACTGCGGCATAACTCACTGTGCAGCAACAGCTGGCCCTCTCTTGCCAACTTTTTAAAAATCTAAGCCACTCTTTTAATATACTTCTTCCTGTCTTCTAGGATTTCAATTCCATGATGTCATCAGATTCATTCTATGTGCAATATGTTGCCTGTGTTCTTTTCTGCATGTCTTTTCTCCATTCTACTCAGGATTTTATATTGGGCCCTCTTATTTTTGAGCTTCTCTTTTTCTGTTTCTAAAAATCTATGAAGCTCATCTATTGTAAATTTTAAGTTTTCAGTTCTTCAACTATAAGATTACCACTTTGTTCTTCACCAACACACACACACACACACACACACACACACAACACCACGCGCGCACACACATATATACTCATAGGAGCTGGTACTGGTGACATCATGGAATTGAAGTCCTAGAAGACAGGAAGGAGTATATTAAAAGTATAACCCCCCCCCCAAAAAAAAACCCCAAGATGTGCATATTTGAGAGAGAGAGAGAGATGGAGAGAGAGAAAGAAAAAGAGAGATGGAGAGAGAGAAAGACAAAAAGAGACACAGACAGACAGAGA